GTTAGGGTTCAGGGCTATATTTTGCTGTTGGTTGAATGCATCCAGATATAAGAGCCTCCCACAGGTTTATCTACACTTTTTTTAATGACTATGATATCCCACTGCTCAGAGCACAATCGGAATTGGTAGCCTTTGTCAGGCATACTCTGGATGACATTCTCATAGACCCAAAATGATGACTCTGCATTGCGCAGGAAAATACGGACACAGCAGCTCAAACTGGCAAGATTCACATAATGTAGTGAAGGAAATGTTAAGGCAGAGTCTAGTGAGTTTGGGAAGAATGTGTTAGTAGAAAAGGCTGCTGACAAGCTCCCATTTTTTAACTAACAGAACTGAAGCTGTGCTTTTTGGTCATTTTTGTGGCAGTGAGGCACGAGCCTGGGACGCTGTAAAGACGGAGCATCTACAGTTGAGAGGGTAGAGCTTTCATTTTCTGTTGAAGTAATATCACAATAGAGCATTTTTTTTGCTATTTTGAAATGAAATGTTATCATATTGATATAATGGAATATAAACTATTAATGTTATGGACTGAGATAATATCAGTACCTAGTTAATATTAGTTATAATTAAGGTAGAGCCGTCTTCTATTATTTTTTGAAATTTGTAGCAGTTTCGTTTGGAGAAGAGCAGCTTCTAGCAGCATTTCTGGTTTTATGTGTAGCAGTTTGATTTATCTTAGAAAAATAGAAAAGAAACAATTAAATACAAAGATTTGATAGCTGAAAAGAGAGAAGTACATAACTTCAGTCAGCATTTATGGATACGGGTTAGTGACGCTCTGCAGTTCAGGAGTTCAGAAACTGTTTCAGACTTTGTTATGCTTATGAATGTATTTAATCTCACTTCAAAATGGGATTCTACTAAAGAAGAATCATTGAAAAGTAAACTGAAACCCATACAAGATACATGGAAAGAGAAAAGATCATCTCAGAAGCTAAAATGGGTACCCCTATGCTCTGGATGCTTTAATGATGTTTTTCCTTGAAGCTACTATTTTCTTCTTCATTTATTTTCACCTTTTTGCCCATCTGTTCTATTTTCCCCTTACTTTCTCTTGAATTCTCTTTTTCCCTTCATCTATTCTGTTTCATTCACCTTTCCTTTGCTGTCTCTATAACAACCTAACTTGAATGAGAATTTATCTGGAGTTTACTGAAATTAAAATATAATTTGTCAAGAAAATTACTGTATTCTGAGACAGATAATTTTTTTTTTTAATCTTATTGAGAGGAAACAAACATTTCTTTTTCTTCTCTCAGCCTTCTCACTTTTTCTGTGATACTAGTACTACTAAAAATACCAAAAATTCATGTTGTGTTCTGGTGACCATTTTGGGGTTTCTTGGGTGTGATGTTTGGCCCATCTCTTAGTTCATGCCCCGGTTTTATCTGTCCTGTGTTGTGATATGCTGGATAAGTCAGTTAATCTTTCTCGTATTTATATGTATTGGGAAAGTTATAAGGATTAGTTCCTTAACTGGGAAGCCTCAACCGAACTGTGCTGTAGAATGTGAAAATTGTCCTTTATCTAAAGGTTATATGCTGCCCTTGATTTGTCTGTGCATGCACACGCAAACACCTGTCCACGTGTAGAGCTAAATGCTCCTAAAACATGGACCCTTAAGGGGTGTTACTCTACCAGTGCTCACTCAGTGTTCATAATTCATTCCATATAAATGCATGTAGATAACTCACAATTCCCTTCAGGATAACCACAGCTTGCTAAGCATTTGCAGCAATTATTTTAGAGCATATTTACTCAAATTAAGATATATTGGCATTGGTCTTAAGAGTGTCATTATAAACTATTAAGTTAAAATTGCTAATCATGCTAATGCTGAGAATCATTGATAGATAACTGTTCAGTCATGAAAATATTTTAAAAGGGATTTTTGGCTTCAATATAAAAATATTGTGATATCACATGTGGTTTTTATATTTTTGTCTCCAGAGTGGTAAGGAATCTCTTTCATCATGATTCATCCCTTTGAGGACTTCTTTAAAAAAAAAAAAAAAAGCCAAAACAACCAACCAACAAAACACCCCCAGAAACCCAACAAAAACCCCCCAAACATTTGTATACAGTTTCTTCTTCCTGATGTCACCTGTGTATATCCACTAATATGTCATTTTGTGGCTTTAGGCTTATAACTAGCTTGTTTTTTTCTGTAGCTCTCCCAGATTTCTCATGGTTTTCGTAATGGTGTCAAGATATTTAAAGGAAACTCCAATTAAGGACTATTATGTAGAAAATGCAGCATATGCTTGTGTTGCCTACATTCAGTGTACCAAAATTTTAATTTTCTTATTAGATTTGTGAGGGTGAAGCACGTAGTGTGCATGAGGATTTATGTCTGCATCTTCAAGGAAAGACCTGTCGGTAGTTTATTCACTTTTTGTTGCTCTGTTTCCTGTAGAGAATGTTGCTGAAATGTACATAACTTTTCTTTTTTTGAAAGAACAAATGTAACAACTGAAATCTTGATGAATAAATCAATAAAGTACCCATCGGTACTTTTCATTTCTGAGCTGCCCTCCTTACCAAATGTTTCTACTATAACCCATCTTATGCTTCTCTGGCTATTTCTTATATGGGGGAATAAATCTTAGTTTAAATTTATTTTACTGACGCAAAAATGTAATTGAAACACGTTGGGATCAATACAAACTATATAAGAAACCATGAATTATTTTTCTAGCCCACTAGGTACTAATATGTAGGCACTGATATCTCATGAAATACTATGAAAATTTTTCTTCCAGAGAGTAAGTAAATATTTCAGCACAGAAAGAAAAACATGTTTCTCTTTTCCCTGTGTTCATTTCTGGATGAAGAATTTTTTTGATCCTTCTTTCATTTTTTTTTTTTTCCCTCTCAAACTCATCAGTCATGATCTTTATTAGATGTGCACAGAGTAGTAATGCAACTATGGTTTTAGTATGAGAGGGTATACATCTGCAGAAATGCATTGAATGAGAATAGTTATTTTACATAAAATGCCTTTTTCATACTTGAAAAATGAGGGCCAGATTTGTAAAATACTTTCAGCAGGTCACTAACATAATAAAGATGGACTTCTGAGACCATTCAAATGTTTAAGAATCTGTGTCAGTTGCTGTGAGGCTTCCCCCTCTGAACAGTTAATCTGTGTTATTTCTCTCTTAAAATTCTAAATGCAAAAAAATTGTGGATCAAATTAATGTTTGATAACCTTTCAGATGGCAAGGTCTGGTTTTACTACTATTCATACAGTCCAGGAGCAGTAGGAACAATTCCACAGAACTTTGCTGTTCTATTTGAAATATTTTTTCGTGGCTTCCCCTCGCAGCTCAGGTTGCGATGCACCTTTAGGTGATGGATTCTTTTACCTGTGTATGCTGGAAGGTGAGCTGTTACATTTTTCTGTTCAGTTCTGGTTGATTTGCCTGGTGTTGGAACCATTGCAGCTCAATTCCCTTCCAGTTTAGGTCGGAATGGTTTGCCAAGATCAGCTGGGTTCACATGGGACAAAATGGTTAAAGGTGGAAACGGCGAAGTGATGGGGCTGTGCCTGCAGGGCTTGGGGCAGGGGGCTTCAGCTGCTTGCTCTTGCTCTTCTACATCAACATAAATGTCAGTCGTGTTTCAAGTTTTTAATCAAATCTTTGAGATCTGTAGCTCTGCACTAAAGAAAAATGTAGGAAACCCCTCCCCGCTGGGCTCTGCAGGGAGGACTGAGGGCTCGGCGAGGCTTGCACTCACCCCTGGGTGAGCTCTGCCGTGGGACAGGGATGGGGAGTGGAAGGGCTGTGGCGTGCTGCTGCTTTGCAGACCTCGGGGAACACAAATGTTCCCTGTAACCAGCACAGATCTGCTTTATACTGTTGGGTTTTTGTTGAACCATTTATTCTGAATTGACAACCAGAAATCTTTTTCTTAGTTCATTTTCCATGATAGTTCAAATTGTATAGCAATCGATAGGAATTTTGATTCCATTTTTATTTATATCCAAAAACTTGATACAAGTGGAACAGTTCTGAAAAGGGAAGTGTGTGTCCACCTGTCCACTCTGTGTATCATTAACGAGAGCCTGTAGCTCACTTGCTTCACGATACAAAATATTTGAATTTATACATGTGCTGGTGTCTGATAGATCGAAGAAAATAAAAGTGATATATTGAGTATCCTGTGACAGATCATTCTTTGATTAATTCTGGGTTGTACATATATGAATGTTCAAGTAGATGAAGTAAAAACTGGAAGGAGTTGGTTCCGTAGTTAAAATGTTTGGAACTGCAAAGAATCCTGAATAAAACCTTAAAAAGGACAATAACATCTTTTCACATGACATTGCTTGCAGCAAAATCCTGTAAATTAAATTTTTCAAGTAGCTGTATTTTATGCAACCCCTTTTTTTGTCCTTCAGATGATAGTGGTATGGAACAATAACTATTACAGGGAGTTCTGGATATTATTAAGAGGAAAAAAATACTACTGAATTGCTGTCATTCAGTACATGTTTTGTATTTGATGTGTTATTTTGAAATTCCTTTTTATTTCAGTTGTTTGCAATCAAATGCATTGTTAGGAAATACCTCCTGTTTTAATCTTAAGTAAGATTTGAAAAGGGCTTCTAGTGCAAAATAAGGTCCAGTGCAAAAGCAACTTGATTTTGTGTTCTTTCAAAAATCAGTATCAGAACAGGAGCTGCAGGGTGCTGAGCACTAGTGGAAAAATGACCTTTTTTTTTTCTTTTTCATTTTTTAATAGTTGAGCTGTTTTGATATTTTTTGTACCACCCATTATGGATGATGAGGGTTTAAAAATCTGGTCTTTTTTTTAAATCGGGATCATTTATTTGTCTTCTGTGAAGTATCATAGCAGAAGTCATGTGGTGACAATGAATTACACAATTCTCAAACAATTTCTGTTGTTATGCTGGAAGGAACACCTGAATTTAAAGGTGTTAACCATTATTTCAGAAATAAACCTTTTTTTTTTTTCCTTTTTTTCAGCGTCTTGTTGAAGCTGCAGAAGATGCTTACCTGAAACATGAGTTTGATGCTGACTTACAGGTAATTATTTTCTTACATATTTATCATTGGAGTACACTGTAACAGTTTATACAATAGCTTGCTTGAAGAACTGCTGTAGAAAGCCAAGCATATGAGTAATAGAAGTAATCTGCTGATTACAGAAAATGGAATTAATGAAGGCTGGCTCAGTATTTTGACAGGTTACGCCTTTAGTGTTTGTGTGTTGGGAGACCAAGCAGGTGGATTTTACTCTTTTAGAGATTTCATTTAAATTCCCTGCATGTCTGCTTAGGTCAAGATTTTTAAACACAGTAATTAGCAGCATGTTTCATCCTTGCAATGTACTGGCAAGGAATTGTTCTATGGAGAGTTGAATTTGCAGATGGGGTGGGACCCACAGGGATGGGATTAGTATGACCTTGCTTTGTGCTGCAAATGGTTTGTGTTTGTATCTGTGTCCAGAGCAGACACCACTTTTGCTCTTACCTAGAAGCCCTTAAAGCCAAACCATTATTGTCCCAAACTGTTGCCTTTAGGAATAACACGGGAGGGAGAAGCACTGTGGCAGCTCACAATTAAAAAAGTTGAAAAGAAAAACCTTGCTTAAATAAGACACATAATTAAAAAAATTTAGAAACTGAGTAATCTAACCTAAAATGGAAAGTTTGACAGAAAGCGTGACTCAGTACATAAATGAGTACATACCTCCTTACCTGCAATGCATTCCTGTATCCTTGGTTTCTTGAATGCCATGTTAGGTGGAGTTTTGTTTGCTTTGTCTCTATCTAGATTTAATTTTAAAACCTCCTATGAATATTTGCTATATGTCCATTTAAATTTTGAGCTTAAGCATTAAGGGAAACAGATGCTTTCCATAGACTTTTTCCCATGCATGTATCTAAGAAATACGCAGATCTCTAAGTTCTATTTTCTATATTTTACCATGGTTACTCCCAGTAATCAAAAACCATTTTATTTGAATGAAAATATGATGTAAATTACTGATCTCTGTGCAGAAAGGAAAAAAAAAGTGAACTTTTTGGAGCTAAGGATAAAAAAGTTGAGTTTAGAAGGCTGTGATGCTGAGAACTGTCAGCCTGTGTTGGAGTAAGGACACAATGAGCGCATGGAAAGTGAGAATTAATGTCATTGTTGTGTTCAGTGGATGGTGGCTTCTGTATTCAAATGCTCTACGGTTCTGTTACACTCCAGCCTTGTGGAGGTGTGCCGTGTTTTATTCTTTAAGCTTTGGAGATATAGGAGCTATTGTCTGAATAAATCAGAAACACACTTTATAGAAGATTTTTAGAGATCTACACTAAGTGCTTCCTCACTGCAGGATAGTTCTCACTTTGACAAAGTCCTTCATTTGTGGAGGCTTTGAAGATATTAACACTTTCAGGAGGCCAGTTAAAAGCCGTTTGTGTCAGCAGCATTAACAGGACAATCAAGTCTTTGTGTAGAGCTCTGTTGTTTATTACTGTCACGGTCCATTAAAGCTAATCAATTGTTAATCTTGGTTTCAGCGACCCCTTTGCAACCCTTGCTGGGTGATTGTTGTTCTTTATCAAAAATCTCATAATACCATCTGCTCAATATAAAATAACGGCCGGAATGATTTGATAGCGTACATTCAAGTGGAGGGGGACAGAAGGCTTCTATAATATAAAGTGTATATAATTCTGCTATCAAAGAGGATTTTTTTGGCATTTGTATTGCCTTGGTCGGCATGTGGAAGACGGGATTAAATGCTTTGAATTAGCGGTATGTGATGCAGCACCGGTCTGTGCTGTTTGTGCTCAGATATTCCTGAAATTCAGAAAATAGATTTAAAAAGTGCTTTTGTGCTTTTTATTGGTCCAACATAATCTATGTCTTGAGGACAGTATCAATATTATTGTGTCAGTAAATAAAAAATTATATAAGGAGAAATTAAATTAATAAATTAATATTTTTATTGACTGTAAAAAACCAACAATTTAAAGAAAATTATAACTGTAAGAGTTCATCTTTTAGACTGTTGGTATTCTCTTCATCAATGCTGAAACTATATTGTTTGGTGAGGCTAGACCTGATCCCTTCTGGGTATTTTTCTTAGTAACATTATTAGTTTTGTCCTTAGTTATTCTATAGGTGTTCTAATCAATATCCTGTAATGCTGTATAATGGTCTGAGCACTCAGCTGTCTATCCCTGGACTGAATCTATTGGCACTGCTAACAAAAACCTTGTAGTTATAAGCATAAATAAAACTCCCAGTGAATTGAAAGAAATAAATCAAAATGGGTGATATGATGTTTAACTCATCAGCATTATATATTGCATGTTTGAGTAACGGCCAAACTAAGAATCGGTGAGAGCTGACTTTAAAGATTTACCCTGCGGTGTTTGGGCTTTGGGAGGTTCTTTTTTCTGTTGGGGATAGGAACCAAGAGCTGCAGTTTTAGCAAGTTATGAGGAAATAGCCTTCTAAATGTTACTTATATTTGAAACTTTAACCCAATCCAGGGTTTTGTCACCTGGTGGGTATGGTTTCAAGTCACTCTGTGTTATTAGAGAGTCTCTTCAGGTTGCTGCTAAGTGGAATTACTATCTTTAATCATGCCTGATAATTTATCTTACATGCCCAAATACATTACCATTTCTATTGTTACAGCGAGCTGCCTTCTCACAGTATTTCCATAGGCCTAAAGAATCGATCATCTTACTCTATACAGGACACTGTCGCTGTGCTTGCCTCTGTTTAAAATGACATAATTCCTCCTGATTTTGTGGCTTTAATATGATGAAAAAAACAACATGGGGCCAACTGCCAAGCACAGACCCAGCAAGGGTATTGGATGTTATAGGTTTTGAAGTGATTCTACAAATGTCTTTTAGTTTTGTTGACTTAATTGCTTGACAGAGAAATTTTTTTGGGGAAAAATAAAAAAGAGGGTAATGCCTTTTGTTAAGAGGTGGTCTATTAGAAAGAAATTTCAATTTTTATAATCATTGCTCCTAACTGAAATTTGGCCTGATAATTTACCTTTTTTTTGCTTGAGTACAAGTTTCTGAAGATGTGAACTGTCTTATTATGATTCACAGAACTGGTGGAGTTTGTGTTCAGACCCCTGGAAGAGGTTCTGAAGTGGAAAACTCTCCCCTGAAGCTGTCATATACCTAAGAATTACTTGCATATGCAGATGATAAAAACACACAGATTTAGAGGCTTTTTCCTCCCACCACATTTCTTCAATCAACTAGAAACTGGACAGATTTTGTTGTGTAAAAATACACCAAAGTGATACCCAGCTGCTCTCCTTACGCAGTTACTAGAGAGGTGGTGTTCTGGTTTTCACTAATCCAGCAGGTGGAGGCTCAGCAGTGGAACTGATGCTGGAGTTCTCAATGGAGCAGTAAAAGTAACTTGCACTTTGTTTCTTACAGACTTTAAAAAAAATATTAATTTTAGGATCAGTAAAGATTTGTAATACTTGGTTTCTACCCAGTTTTCAGACCTCTTGACCCCAGTGACATGAGGAAGTAATACAACATTTTGTTATGACTACGGGTTCATTTGGTGAACAGTTTCATTATCCATACACATCTGCAGGGTAGTTCTTTTATTTTCTCTGTGTTAATTAAGTTCATTAGTTCACTCACCTTACATTCCAGCTGAGTTTTCTCTGCGTATGTGTGATGTGGTGATAAAAAGCAAGGTTATGTCTTTTTAATAGCATCAAAGCTAGTGGATAGTTGGTGTCACCTGAGTGACTAGATGTTTTCTTTTCAGATGGTTGTGGTTCCACTTTCTGTGTAAGATGGGAGAGGTTCAAGTGCCAATACTTTAAGACGATTGACCTTATTTTAGTGTTATGTCAGAAGACTAGAAGAGGATTAGTCAAACAGTTTTTAGGAAAAGATTACTTTCAATACTCTTAAAGTCAATTTATGGGGATAAAAAAGGAATAATGGTATAAGGCTGCTTTTCGTTATTCATTTTTTTAGATCTATAACATATGGCTGAGTCTTAAGGAAGAGGTTTTCAAAACTGTACCAGTTACTTACCTGCCTGCTGGATTTTGCTGGCTGTTTCCTAATTGCACTTTGTGTCCTTGAAAACCTCATCCTGACTCTTAGGGTATATATGTTGGCTATAAAAAAAACACTTGTGAAATCACCAGATGAATATTGAAGGATTTTTCCAGTGGTTTACACAGGTGAACAATGTACTTTTTAATACATATGTAATGATTTTTTGAAAGTCTACAAAATGTGAGACTTCATAGGTTTATGAGAAAGCACAAGTAGCAAAAGAGATCTGGGGAACAGAATTAGTCCAGTTCATAAGCTCTGCAGTTTTCAGGGTCTAATTCTGTAACTGATATTATTACTATCTAGTTGATTGTTGTCTTTCAAGGGGAACTACCTGACTTCTAGTGATTTTGAAATGCAGCTGCTAGATAGATATAGAGCTTAAATATAGATATAAAAACGTAACTTAAACTGCTGCTACTTTTTAAAAAGTTCTGACATAAATATTTATTTGGTCTAATGATACCATGCAAAAATTTATAAAGATGTATTATTCAATTCTTGGGTATTTAATTGAAATGGAATCACATAGCTGGTAATTACATTGATATCAGTTACTAGAAAATACAAGGAAAAAGATAATTGAGAGTAGCTGTTCTACATAATCTTACTAAACTCCTATTATAAAACATGTGTTAGTATTTCAGAAAAGTCTGTTTGCATATTTATTATCTCATTGATTTTGAATGTGGCACATAACTAGATTTACAGTCTATTGCTGTTAATATTTTTCTGGCTGCTAGAATAATATTCACAAGACTGAAGTCAGCTCTTGAAGGGTCCTGAACATCCCCAATGGAAAGGGAAGTCTGTTGGACTTCAAGCACTCGGCACCAATGATTGAAATGACTTTCTGAAAGTGCACTTGAAATAGCAGTGGAGCATCTGAAGTCTGATGTGCTTCAATGGATTATTTATACAAGCTGCTTACTTTCTAAATCAGAAATCAATCTTTCTAAACTC